CAAGTCGAGATATTTGCAAAAAGAAGGTGTAGGGGGTCACCTGTTTTCAGAGGTAAAATTTGTGAGAAAATGGCCGCCAAAGATTAGTAATTTCTCTAGCTTAAGAGTCCGTGATAACTGAAAATGTGCATTCTGTGTGCCTTTAATCAACGTTTTTCAGAAAAATTCCACACAGAAATGAGTTCTTTCATGAGCATGAAAGGCGTTGAGCCAAAAAACAAAAATTAGATAAAAATTCACAAACCTGCGAAAAAACGCAAGCTTCTTCACTTTGATTATTTTGACGAGAGCCTGATTCCACCACGCTGCCTCACATATAAGAAGCTGGTCACTTCGACCTTGCCTGTCCGGGCGATCTCAGACTGAGAGTGATACAATGTCCTGGAAGACAGAAGGCAATACTCGATAGAAACCTTCCCACACGAGATTCGAACCCAAGTCGGGTGTTTCGCTGTGTGCAATGGCAAAGTGGTTAATCACCACACAACAGACACCGAGATCAACTTTACTTTCACTTTTCTTTTTCCTTCCTCTGGTATCCTTAGGATGTTGAGTAGAGGTGCAAGTTTCGGTCCTGTGCTAGGTGTGTAGCGTCGGTGATAGATATGTTATGCTGTTCCAGGACCTTTTTAACCCCTTCCAACCAGGTCTTCCTTGGTCTTCCTCTTGATTTAAAGACAGAGTCAAGGGTGTTGTAGGCTCTAGTTGCTAGTTGTTTCTTTGGCCATTCGGGTTAGATGCCCAAACCATTTGACTCTTTGACGCTCTATGAATGTTATTACTGGTAGTATTCCAGTTTGCAGACGTTTGATTTCGTTTCTTATTCAGTCTCTTCATTCAAGCCATTCTAAAATTGATGCAAAATTGTATTTAATTTGGCCTGTATGACAAAATACACAAAATGAGAAAACTTAGCCAAACTCACAGCATGGCACCACAAGACGCAGGAACTATGCGCGAACAGCCAAAGACATCGCCACGAACAAGTAACATTATCAACATTAAAAGCGATAATCCCTGTAACATCTCAAACACTATTTTTTAAAGCTATTATCATAACTTAATAATAATAACAACAACAACAACAACAATAACAGCTATAAGAGTGTTAACAATAATAATGCTAGTAGTAATAGTAGTAGTAGTAGTAGTAGTAGTAGTAGTAGTAGTAGTAGTAGTAGTAGTAACAATAATATTCTTATTATTATCACTATTATTATTATGATTGCAATTAACACTAATGATTGCAAAACAAGTATAAGAGCAACATATTAGTAGACTGAAATGATTTGTTCCCTTCACTGTGTTCTTTTCAGATAATTCACTTTTGCAATGACGACAGAAGTAACCTCAAACGCGTCCATAACTACGAGTCTCCCAGCAGACATAACCGTCTATGTGGAAGTCGGAGCACCTGGGCAGTCATCAGCCAATCTCCGGGTCTGTTCATTATTGTTGTTATTATTATTATTATTATTATTTTTATTATTATTATTATTATTATTATTATTATTATTATTATTATTATTATTATCATATCATCATCATCATCATCATCATCATCATCATCATCATCATCATCATCATCATCAATGACATTTCGAATGGAGTTATTTGGACGAGTGGAGGTGCTGCTAAGCATATTGACAATGGAGCTAAAAAAGAGCCTCGCTCTCACTCGAAGATTTCTTCGCCGGGCCCATTAAGGAAATAAAAAAAATCATCATCATCATCACCGTCATCATTGTAAAAAGTAGTGAAGATAAAAGAGTTGAGATTTGTAAATTTTTCAAATTTAATGAAAATAAATATCCATTTATTTTTAATAGAAGTCAAAGACATTTGCGAATGAAGGAGGTGGGGGTGATCTGGTATCAGAGGTAAAATACGCGAGAAAATGGAGGCCAAAGATGAGTTATCTCCTTAGCTTGAGAGTCTGTGAAAAATTAATATTTACATTTTTTTGTGCATTTAATCAACGTTTTTCAGTAAATGTGTTCTTTAATGGGCATGAAAGGTATTGAGCCAAAAAAAACCCGAACATTTTATAAAAATGCATAAACCTGGGGGAAAAAATGCCAGTTTCTTCACTTTGATTATTTTGACGAGAGCCTGGTTCCACCACACTGCCTCACATATTATTTAGTCCCTCCTTCTCTCTGCTGGGACATTGTATCCCTCTGAGCACAAGTTGACCCAGACAGGCAGCTTTTGAAATAGCCCACATCTTTAATAAAGTAAAAATAGTGATAAGAAAAATAGTTATAGATGCAAGAGTAGTGTGTTGGAGGTGCAATTCCCTTTGGGCAGGTCATTTTTTTTCTTCAAATTTTGTTCTTTGGCATAGTATTTAACCCAAAATTGAGCTTCTCCGCCGTGTATATTATAATCACGAATCTTTTCCAGCAAATCAAGTGTTGAAAAAGAAAGCGTCTAAATGTAGCGAACATTAGTTCTCTCTCTCTGTCTCTCTCTCTCTCTCTCTCTCTCTCTCTCTCTCTCTCTCTCTCTCTCTCTCTCTCTCTGTCTATCTATCTATCTATTTATCTATCTATCTATCTATCTCTCTATCTCTCTCCATCTCTCTCTCTATCTCTCTATCTCTCTTTCTCTCTCTCTATCACACCCCCCCACACACACACACACACAAACACACACACACTATCTCTCTCTCTCTCTCCCTCTCTCTCTCCCTCTCTCTCTCCCTCTCTCTCTCCCTCTCTCTCTCCCTTTCTCTCTCCCACCCAATCATTTGGATAAAATCCACGTTTACATACGTTTACACTTAGAGAATAACACCGGTGATTTGCGTCCACAGACTTCTTTGGAGGTCTGAACGCCCCACGGGACATCCATGACACTACGCCGAAGTTCAAGGTCGTTCGTCTTACTTCCTCTCGCCGTATGGTCATGGCCATAGACACCTCGGGAAGCATGCAGGTGAGAGTCCATGGTGAGAGTCCATGGTGAGAGTCCATGGTGTGAGAGTCCATGGTGAGAGTCCATGGTGAGAGTCCATGGTGAGAGTCCATGGTGAGAGTCCATGGTAAGCGTCCATGGTGAGAGTCCATGGTGAGAGTCCATGGTGAGAGTCCATGGTGAGAGTCACAGAAAGCATTGTGGGAATAGAAAATTCTTGGAAATGCTTTGTGACGTAATCGGCCCAATTTAAGTTGTTAATGAAGGCCTGTCAGGGCAAATATGAAAGAAAGAGGAGAGGACAGAGAGCGATAGAGAGAGAGAGAGAGAGAGAGAGAATGAGAGAGAGAGAGAGAGATAGGAAGGGGGAGAGAGACAGACAGAGACAGAGAGAGACAGAGAAGATAGACAGACAGACAAACAGACAAACAGACAGACAGACAGATAGAGACAGACAGAGAGAGACAAATAGATAGATAGATAGATAGATAGATAGATAGATAGATAGATAGATAGATAGATAGAGAGAGAGAAAGACAGAGAGAGAGATAACAGAGAGAGACAATGAGACAGAGAGAAAAGCAGAGCGAAAGAGAAATAAAGAGAGAGAGAGAGAGAGAGACAGAGAGAGACAGAGAGAACGAATAACTACTATCTTTAATCCAATTGCATTATTTCATTACACAGGACGACGAGAAACTTATCAAGGCCAGGCAGGCGGCGACCAGTTTCATTGAAGACGGTCTGGATGACGGAGCCTCGGTGGGCGTCATCTCCTTTGCTAAAGAGGTCAAGGTCATGTCTCCGCTTGTCAAGGTCGACTCAAAGGAGAGCAGGAAAAACGTCACAAGAAAGCTTCCAACAGAGACTGGAGGAGAGACGTGTATTGGCGCTGCCTTGTTGAAGGCGATAGAGGTGACTGAAAGAGCTAAATGAAACAGATCTAGTGGTGACTGAAAGAGCTAAATGAAACAGATCTAGTGGTGACTGAAAGAGCTAAATTAAATAGATCTAGTGGTGACTGAAAGAGCTAAATACGACAGATTTAGTGGAGACTGAAAGAGCTTAATACAATAGATTTGGTGGAGGCTGGAAGAGGTAAGTACAATAGACCCAATGGTTACCGAAAGAGCTAAATAAAACAGATCTAGTGGTGACTGAAAGAGGTAGATCAGATAAACGTCGAGGTGACTGAGACAGCTAAATAGAACAGATGTAGATGTGACTGAGAAAGTTAGATAAAAAAAGAACTTGAGGTGTGCGCCTTTCATTCAACATGTTCGAATTCGGAGTGACGGAAAAAACATTTTCTCCGAAATGTTCCCCTATCACACCATTTCCTGCTCTCTAACAATGTTCTGTCGTCTGCTTTAGTCTTCACTTTTTGTCCTCACCCCCTCACCTCTTTCGCCTCCTCCTCTGTCCTCCTGACTCTTTCTGCTGCCTTTCTACTGCTACTCCAGGGCTACTTTTCCTACTGTCGTTAAGCCACACCCCTGATCTTATGGTAAGTAAGACCTAACACCTAGCCTTCTCGGAAAAGAGCAACAAATCTCGGAGGTCCCATGCGCAAGTAGCGTACGTTAAAGATCGCTTGGTGGTCCAAAATCAATAAGAGTAGGGTTCGGCCCCCACCAGAGCAAAATTCAAAATTGCCTACCAACTGAAAATTTATGTTTAATGAGTCCCGCGCCCTCCTATGACCTGATGCAGTTGTAAGCACCGTGAAACACTTACCAAGAAAAAATCAATCAATCAATGAGTGAATAAATAAATAAATAAATAAATAAATAAATAAATAGATAAATAAATAAATAAATAAATAAATAAAATGGATAATTGTCTTTTAATAATTCTACCTCACAACCCATCACTTTCTCCAGCTGTTCAAGAGACATGACGAGAACGCGACTGACGCCTTCATCGTGCTCATCACAGACGGCCAGGAGACGTCTGCGCCGACCGTTGATGACGTCCTAGACAAGGTCAAGGCCGCGGGGGCTGTTGTCAGTGTCATCACATTTTCGGACGATGAAGACAAAAATCTGGAGAGGCTGGCGCAGAGGACAGGTTTGTGTGTGTGTTTTGTAGGAGTTGGAGGGTTAGTGTGTGTGTGTGTGTGTGTG